CACGAGAGAACGCCATGCAGGTCCCCGGACCTTCACAACGGCGGCGCTCCCGGAGGTGCTGCGTGACAAGTGCCTAAACTGCCTCTCCTACACTCACAGGCTTGTCGCGTGCCGCCTGCCACTGCGGTGTCTGCGTTGCAGAGGCTTCCGACGCCTCGCTAGAGATTGCAAGCGTCGCAGGTCGGCACCGGCACCACCAGCCAGCACCGTTCCGTCAAGGTGCGGACGACGCCGGACAGCCCCGGAACACCGGACGGGTCGCAGGCGGCGGGCTCCACGCCATCCATCAACCCGCCGCAGTCTGGCATGGGTGGTCCCATCAACGAAGGCCGAGACCTGTCAACCATCGGCCAACAGGAACAACGGCAGGTAAGGTGCGTTCATCAATAGGAGCGCCGCCAAGGACAGCTCATGCGCTAATCATTTAACAACATGGCCTGGCAAATTATTTGATTATTTCACTTTCAAGAATTCAGTTCTATATGCGGAACCCATTTGTCAGATTTTATACTCCTTTTCTAGCGAGGTGCAGCTAGCTGTCAAGGGCATTGCCTCTCTACAGTCTGGCTTTATATGATCAATTCGAAAATTTTATGCCTCGATATTATGATATTCTGTTTTGTTTTAGTTTTTTTTATGGGACTGTTTTGTTTTAGTTTTTCTGCTATCACCATGAATTATGTGACATTTAAATTTGGATGCATAAAAATGTGTCACGCTTACGTTGATTGTGGGCTACATGCTAGAATTCCAAAGTTTTAAGGAGAGTCTAAATATTGGTATTTTGCAGCTCCTCGCTACCCTCTCCACCAGCACGGTCCGCTAACTAGCAACGGGAGAAGGCAAGCTGGGGAAAGGACCGGCCCGGATCCACCGTTGCATCGCCCAGCCTCCTCTTCTTCTGCTATGCCCTGCTTTCTCCTCACCTGCCTCCTTGTTCGGCTGAGCAACGAGCCGGCTTATTCGATTTCTTTTTTCAGTCGGAGCAGTGGTTTGCTCTCACATCATTCCAGTATAAACAGTATTTTTCAGCATGAGCAATAAAATTTTCATACCAACCATCAGCAGTGACTTTTCTGATCGCGAACCAAGATACTAACAAGTCAGCATGCAACATAGGACTGTAACATCTGGACCAGTCACAAAAAGTTCAGCAACAGGTCTACTTCGAATTACTCTGTTCAATATGTAAATATGCATCAAGAACCTACCATATGTAACATATATGCTCAGATACTTATTTGTCTACGTACATAAATCTACCCTCTATCAGCCAACACGCGCTAATATGTAAAACATACATCAAGAACTTACCATATGTAATATACACCTAGATACTTATATATCTATGTAAGTAAAATCTACCCTCTATCTGCCAACGCGCGCAAGGGCGCGCACTTTTTACTATTATCAGCAAGCCTAGCGCCCAGACATCCGGCCCTAGGCCTGCATCCGGACGCGGCTCACGTTCGACTCACCCACTGTGCCCCCTCACGTAAAATCGAAACAGAATTGCGTCCGCTGCGCCCGCGCAACAGGAGAGCGCGCCCACGTCACCACGCGCCTGCGCCCTTGCTCCCAACCGTGACGTACGCAGCCCCCTCCGCCTAGCGCCCATCCCGCTCTAGAGGCGGCGTCCCGTATGGAGCTCCCTCGCTTGCGCCCGACGCACGTAGCTCCCTCGTCCTAGCCCATTGCGCCCATCGCCTATCCCTCATTCGTATGGATTCCCTGCCAGCTCCGGGAGAGATGATGCAGCAAAAGGTGGGAGGAGGAGAGATGCAACACCCGATCTACTTTTGAAACATCGAAATACAATGGTTGCAACATACGTTTGAAGGCAGTTGAAACACTTGAAACATGCTTCTGAAACACTTGAAAAACACACCTGAAACACACTTGAAAACCATTGCAACCATACGCAATATCCGAATAAAACACATGCAACATATGTGTGAAACATATGCAACATCCAGATAAACACAATTGCAACATGCGTCTGGAAAACACAAATGAAACATACCTCTGAAACATTTAAAACACTAAAAAAAACTCTTGCAACATGCCTTTGAAACAATTGCAACATCCCCCGATATACTTTTGCAAATCCATATGAAACAAATGCAACATACCTCCGAAACGTCTGAAACAATTAAAATAGAGAAGTGCAACATAGGGGGGGAGAGCCTGGCGCGGGGAGTGCCATGGCCACCGGATCTGCGAGCATTGGGGGCTCCCGGTAGGGGAGGACGCCTGTGTGGGGGGCGTCGCCGGGGGTGGGGGAGAGGAGGCCGGGGTGGGGGAAGGAGCTGCCGGGGGTCGGGGAACATAGGGAAGGGGAAGGCTACGTCGGTCGATTCCGAGCATCGGTGGTTGGCGGCGGCGGGCAGTTGTGGCTGCTCCGGAGCCTGGCATCGCCGATGGTGGCGACGAGGATTGTCGCGACAGTCGACGGCGACGCCCCGCGCACTGCCGTGGTGCGGCTACCGCTTCCACATCGAGTGCCGAGGTAGGGGAAGGGCCCGCCGGGATGGGGGAGAAGGGCGCCGAGGTGGGGAGGAGGACTCCAGGGTGGGGGAGCGCGCCGCCACCGGCCAGGGAGGCGACCATAGCCGCGCGTCGCGATAGCGCGCGGGGCGAGCCACAGAAGGAAGGAGCAAACGAGGGACTGGGAACGTGGGTGCGGGAGTGAGCAAGTGAGATGAGTTGGGTAGCGGTGACCGCACATTGATGTTGGGCCGATCAGCGCGCAGATCCAGAACGGGGCATCGGGCGTGGACACGCCCGGACGGGTGCCCTCACAGAAGCATTAATGGCATTATCGATTAATTAAGAGTTAAATGCACAAGCGGCCCTCGAACTTGTAAGAGTGTGTCACATAGGTCTACGAACTCGGGAATGCACTTTTTGGTCCCTAAATTTGTCGAGTGGTGGACCGTAGGTCCATATAATACGCGTAGGTATTTCTAGCTGACGTGGCATGACAGCGTGGCATGTGTTTTTACATTTAACCCCTCTAATTCTCTCACGTCATAGCCCTATAGTACCTTGCCCGAAGCCGATGACCAGAAGGACGTCGCTGGCAGCCTCGCCAGTGGCAGCACGTCCAGGTCCAACAAGCAGCCATCTGTCCCCGCGGGGGGCGTGTTCTCCGTGTGGGACTGGAGAGACCTTGGAGCTGTCACCAGGGACGGAGCCAGAATTTGACCATATGAGGGGCCGTTTTGGTATACCAATGATAACCACATATGATAAAAATATGTGCGCATACATACACATATATGCATATTGAGTTAGCAAAAGTATAAATAATAACCAAATCAATATTTATTTTGCGATATAAAAGAAAGACTAACACAAATAAGAGACGATAAATAAATACAACACTAATTAGTAATGTTTATTAGCTAATTAAGGGGTTATATAGTGAGGTATTAGGGAGGTTGGGGGTTGTGTAGGCCCCCCCTGTCCCTGGCTGTCACTGCCTTCAAGGACCAAGGATAATGCGGCACGTGTCGTAGTCGTAGTTCCTGGCTGTATGTATATGGTACAATATACATGTGTGAATGAGTCATTCAAAGACGCGTTCGAATACACCATCAACCAGGTGTTAATCGGCGGCAAGGCTCCGAACTACCCTGGCTACGTTGCCAGGCAAGAGTCATGCAGATTCGGCCGGTGCACGCGTACGCGTGCATCCATGCATCCAGCACTGCGCTGTATGCGCTGTTCTTCGTGGTTACCAGGGCAACTACGCTGACGAGGCCGCGCTGATGATGGAGCACTCTCTGCTCGAGTGCTCCTGCTCCTGGACAGTGCGTGCAGCTGGCACAGCACGGCCTGATCGATGGAGGCATGGAGTCGAGCAGGTTCGTGTTGTCTGACACTGTCCGTGCAGACACCGCGGCGAGCGGCAGTAGGCCAAAACGTTCAAAGCCACAACATCGTAGAGGCGCGGCATGCCGCATGCGGCAGCGCCGCCGGAGCCGTCCACACCGTAGAGGCGCTAGAGCGCTAAGACGACGAAAGTCGCGGCCATGCCGAACGTACAGGTGAAGCGTCGCTCGACGAGCACATGCACAACCGACGCGTGCGCGTGCGGCCGCGAGGCCAGCGTCGGCACACAGGACACCGTCTAGCGTGGCTAGCGCCTTCTGGCTCGTGGCCCAGTCAGCTTCGACGAGGACCTCCAAGAGGACTGACATCGCGCGCAGAACTCCACGAATGTCGACAAGCGTGTCGCACATGCCCAAGGTCCTAAGACGTGTGTCCATCGGCTGATGACGCGAGCTCGCCGAGCATGACAGCGGCGCTTTTCTACCGCTGGAAGCTCGCCGTGGAACTGGGACATGACCGAGAGATGATGCAAGCGGGGAGGGCCGCGGACAACCCGCACCACGCCGTGCTGCCTGTCAATATTTTTTGCGGGCTGTGCGCTGATGATGGAGCAGGGGGTGTTCGGGCAGCCGGTGTCCGTCCGCATCGACGCCGGCAGCAGCGCCATCCTGGGTTCAACGAGGGCGTCTTCATTGGGCCTGCGGGACGTCTCTGAACCATGCCATGTTGGTCATGGGCTACTATATGAGAAGAAGAGAGAATTAGAGGGGTTAAATGTAAAAACGCATGTCACGCTGTCATGCCACGTCAACTAGAAATGCCTACGTGTATTATATGGACTTACAGTGCACCACTTGATAAGTTTAGAGACTCAAAAATATATTTTTCAAGTTCGTGAAACTAAATGACACACCCATAGCTCATTAATTAACACCTTCCTTTCTCTCCCGTCAACCACGCCCACGTCCCTGCGGAGCACTGACGTGCGCGCGTCGTGGTGGCCTGGCCTCTGCGTTCCACTTCCTCCGCGGCCCTCGCCTCGCCAGAACAGCGGGAGATCTCGGGATAGGACGGCCCTTCTCCGGCGTCCGGATCGAGAATATTGGAGCCGAATCCCATCGCCTAGGCGGCGCAGCGGGGCGTGGGGGCGTGGCGCGCGCGCGATGGCGCCGGCGGTGGTGTCGGCGCTGGCCAAGTACAAGCTGGTGTTCCTCGGCGACCAGTCGGTGGGCAAGACCAGCATCATCACCAGGTTCATGTACGACAAGTTCGACACCACCTACCAGGTAACCGCTACCGCAAATCGTGTCCATATATCCATCGTCTCGTCCGTGCGCGCGATCGATTTGCCGATTCGTGTTACTGCAATTGCATCGATTGGGTCCCTTCGCTGCGGAATGCCGGCTGATGCCGTTAATCACGTGTTGTTCATTTGATCCGGCGGAATCTGGTATGAGACCGTATGAGGAATTGAGGATGCATGTATAGTCAATCATCATCGGCTTTGGTATCACGGGGAATTAGCCTCCAATTCGCTGCTATGTCCGATTCTAATCTCATTGTCTCAACATGCATGTAGCTTGGTTGGCCCAACCAAATCCGTGTTCTTCCTCATTGATCCTTCATTCATTGGTGCTAGCTCCATCATTTCGCCAGTTCTCCTCTCAAAAGAGAATGGCGCTAATGAAGATACTTTCGTAAATTGCGGGCAATGCCGCATGTGCCATCGTGTTTCTCCAGCTTCACGTGATGCCTAAAGATGTTTGGTCGCGTAGGAGTGGGGCGTCCAAACCTCACTCTACTAGTGGTTGTGGTATGTGTGGGTCAACTCCAAAGAAAATATTACCGGACTGAACATGAAAGCGCATGCTGCAGCGAACGGGTCACCGCTGGGACGAATTTCGGGTCTGGATTAAAAGTTCACCTCACTACAGACCAAAATTGGGCCTGCATTGTCAGGGTTCGGGCGGTTTCTTGATCGAGTGAAGGCTGTTTTTTCCCCTCCTAATGAAATGTGGGGTTGTCTTCTCGCACCGATCGAGTTTTTTTAAGGGCTTGCTGCAAGATAGTTGCTCTCTTTTGTGGTGAATGCACAGGCCTAGAAACGTCTACAAATTTGATTACTTCCTGAATTCCTGATAATCCATTTTGTGGAAAGTGGAGCTTCCTGCACGCAGCACGCATGTCATATATTTTGGGTGAATAGGTATTGCACTGAATATATATTTTGGGAGTATGTTAATTTGCTTCTTACACCTTTTGTCCTTGCACGTGTGTACTTGGTCCAGGCAACGATTGGCATTGACTTTCTGTCAAAAACAATGTATCTAGAAGACCGAACTGTACGTTTACAACTCTGGTAAGTATCTCAATCTTTGGTCTGTCCGTAATTCATATACGAGCGTAGTAGGTTCAGTCACAGTGATACTTAAATGATGAAATCAGTGATACTTCGTGATGCTAACAGATGAGATGAAATGAAATGAAATATGAAACTACTTAGTGACTGCATCTAAGTTTCGAGTGATTCGCATGACCAATTTGTGTTTCAGTAACTTTATTAGTTCACGTTATGTTTTCTTGAAGAACAGTTAGCATTTCGTTGTTCTTGCTGTCAGGGATACTGCAGGACAGGAGAGATTTAGGAGCCTTATTCCAAGCTATATCAGGGACTCTTCCGTTGCGGTGGTTGTTTATGATGTATCCAGTAAGTCACCCAAAAACTTTGTATGCCACCCACTTGTGTCCGATCTTTTCCAGTTTCAGTGAACAATGTCATGTATAGTGAACCACATTATGAACTACCGTAGAATGTCAGCAAATGTTAATTTTAGCAAAATAACAATCAATCGACTTTATGGTTAATTACCGTTGCATTTCAATTCTAATGAAGAGGAGAAGACGTGAGCTCTTCGTCTCTTACCGATGAAGATAGACATTGGTTCTTGTTCAGTTTTCTTCTCTGAATAGGTACCATCGCTGAAATGTTGATCCCTGCAGATAGGCAGTCCTTCCTGAACACCTCAAAGTGGATTGATGAAGTCCGCACCGAGAGAGGTGGCGATGTGATAATCGTGCTCGTTGGGAACAAAACTGACCTCGTCGACAAGAGGTGACCATCGTGATTTAAACTCTCAAGTTTGTTTGTAGGCTAACTAACAGAAATATATAAATGGTGCTACCTTGCAAGTTTGTCATAATTCTGCCTCGTTCTGCTCAGACAAGTGTCCACAGAAGAAGGAGAGAGCAAGGCGAAAGAATTGAACGTCATGTTCATCGAAACCAGCGCGAAAGCTGGCTTCAACATCAAGGTCAGATTCAGATGTGGAGCACGCCATTTGCTTCCAATGAGGCAATGACATAGATGCTTAGACTTTTGATGTGCCCTGCGCACATTGCACTTCATCACTTATTTCTCATATGTGCAGCCGCTGTTCCGCAAGATTGCCGCGGCCCTGCCGGGAATGGAGACGATGTCGGCGAAGTCGGAGGACATGGTGGACGTGAACCTGAAGCCGACTTCCAGCCAGTCCAACTCGCAGCAGCAGGCGGGGAGCGGATGCGCCTGCTAGAACAGTGCTAGCTCTGCACTGCACATACGCTCGCTTGACAAACGTGTTGTTAACTGCTAAGCAGTTATATCAGTTGTGTTACTGCTGTCCTTAATTCCCTGATGCTTCTTCTGTAGTGAGTCTTACGTACTTTGTTTTCTCATTTCCATCTCGATTTTGTGTACGGCGAAAGACCAGATGTTCTCTTGCAGTTCCAGAAATATTAATTCAGCTCTTGTGCTATGGAATCTCTTTCGCGAGCAACTTCACTATACTAGCTCACAGTCACTAACATACTGGGCCCACACAAATATAGCTCACTGACAAGCGGGACAAGCAAACAATCGATGACGTGGCAGTGCATCCCCTCGCTGCCTCGCATCGAACGACTGAATCGGATAAGCCCTTCTTCCCTCTCGAGTTTCTGCTCTCGAGCAAGGGAATCGAGACATCATCCGACTCAGCAATGGAGTCTACCGCGCTAATGACCGCGAGGTTACCACTTCCAACCTCTGGCTCCCGTTCCAAACCCCTATCCTCTGCCTCCTTCACCAGGGCGGCTCGCCGTCTCGCCTCCGTCCCCTTCTCCTCCGGCAGCGGCAGCGTCGTCTTGCTGTCGCGCCGGAGCCGCGATCATGCCGGCGTTGGTTCCTTGGTCTCCGCCGCCGCGGCTTCTGGGGATACGGCGGACGCCGGATCCGAGTCCATCCTGCTCAGTGTCCAGGTACGCATCCCTCTATCGATCGAATCGCAAGTCGAATTCGAAACTCTCTTCCCCGTCGTGTCCTCTTCGATTGTTCGATTTCGATGGTTGGTTAACCAGGCCTGTGACGTGATCTTTCCTGAATCCTGTTTGGTGTTTGCAGGGGATGATGTGCGACGGGTGCGCTGCGAGCGTGAAGCGGATCCTGGAGAGCCAAGTATGTTTATCTTTCTTCCCGTTCAGAGTTTGTGAGGTGGAATGAGGAAGAGATGAGATTGCAGCATGATTGTTGGTTTACGTTCTAATGCATGACAGATTAAAAGCAGATAATGACCGGTGAAAGCTAAGTAACTAACTACTAGCTCAGATAAAAATAATGTAGCTAACCGAACAATTTTTCTGTTCATGAATTGTTTCCTATATCTGCATCTGCATTTGGTCTGGACTGTGCCAAGTTCTTTTTTCATTTCTTCTAGTGTTACCTTTCAATTTGCTTTCCCTTAATCCCTTATATCTCGACACTTTTGCAGCCCGAGGTTACTTCTGCTACCGTTGATTTTAAGAAAGCTAGGGCAGTCGTGTGGACAACAGATGAGGCCAAGGGGACACAAGACTGGCAGAAGCAGTATGGAGAGAAGCTTGCTAAACACCTTGGCACTTGTGGATTTGAGTCTCGCCTACAAGGTAATGGTTGTATTTCTTTTTTCCCAACTTTAGGATAATCAGCGAATACATTAAAGTGTTTGACTTCGTATGATTCTCTACCTTACATATTCACTGATAAACATAGAACGATCAAATGAAGATACATGCTAGAAGCCAAAAGTAAAGATAAAAGAAAGTGATCATTAGAACCGTAGAAAGAAAAGTGTGACAAAGTTCATGTGCTCTTCAATTTCTCAGATATGATACAGTTATTAAAGTTGACTACAAAGTGGAAAGTACCATGAGAAAAATTCTAGCTCCGGATCCAGATGCTTTTTTTCACAAGAAGAGATAAAGATTTGTTTCATTGCTGCATTGCGGTTACTGTACAAAATGGATTGCAATGGAATCAGCATTTGGTCATAAAATGATGAGTAACACCAACTTAAATGAACAATGCAAATTGCTCTCGGAAAATACGTACATCTGATTCTTATGCTATATATGATGTTGAGGATATATCTGAGGCATAGTTGTAAACAACGAATAGTTGAGGCAGTTTTGTCCAGATATTGACTGTAGCACTTCCTCAGTATTTTGAAATCAGAGTTCAACTCTTAAGTGTGCCGTGAACTTAACTATACCTGTTTATCTCTTTCACAGAGTAAGGTGAAGCCAAAAAGAACTGATATATGGAAGTTCAGATGTCACCTCAGTGAGCAATTTGTACCAGCATCTCTGTTACCGAGAATTTTGGTACCCAATTACATCTTTGCTGTGCATGGAACTATAAGCCTTAGTGTTAGTGTGCTAGCATAATACTTCGTACCTACCTTTCCCATGGGCTTTAGCTAGGTCATTTGGAATAGGGTAAAGTGCTAAAATTGTAGGAGTAGCCCACTGTTGCAAGGAAGGAGTTTGCGCTGTGTTCCCCGTTGCTTCGAAGATATAATAAAGTGTACTCCCTTTGTCTCGGTACGAATATACGTGGCAGAACCGCCTAATCTAATGCCTCCTAGAATTACTTGTCTTTCATTAGACACTTACCCAAGGGCCTAGTTATTAGGACAGGACCGGACCGGACCGGCGGTTCGACCGCTAAAAGACCGAACCAGAGCCTAGACCGGTCCGGTTCACTTAAAAGACCGTCTATGCAATCGAACCGCTAAAAACCGGTTGAACCGACCGGTTTTTTACAGAACCGGTGAACCGGCCGGTTCCGTCTGAACCGTCCTGGTTTGGTAATCTCGTCTGGTGGTGCGCGTGCTGCTTCCTGCTGGTATCTCGCGTGAGCAACTGGCGCTGGGCCTGGGCCTTTCTGCTACTGCCGCCTGCTGTCCTAGTGTGTTTGAGCGTGCTGTGTGCGTGCGTATAGTACTTGCCTGCCAGGCTCCATGCTTTATGTTTTTGTTGTTGATTGACTTTGGATGCTTTTTTATTAATTTCAAAATTTAATATCTTTTTCATTCTAGCTCTAAAATATATAAATAATATATCTATTTTGATTATCTCGACAAGCTCTTCACAATGGTACACTTTATCTCAGCATTGAGATTATTTTCCAACACTGAATATTTGAATTACTATTTAAATCCTTTTTTAGAACCTGTCAAGTTAAGGTCTATCTTGCTAAGATGCATTATGGGATGTTGTTGTTTATTATCTTTTAACAATTTGATCATTTGAGTTAAGAACCGTCAACAGACAAATGTTGATTTTGGAGTACCTGTTGTGGACTTGTGGCTAGATTATTTCAAAGGTGGTTATATAATTGTGTTTTTATTAGTTTATTTGTATATATGATCAATCATATGTTGCTAATTTGAATTAAGAACATGTCATTCTATATATACATATGTATGAACCTTATAGTTGTGCAATTAAATTTGTGTTGTTTATCATCTGTTAATTATTAATTATAGCATATATGTATATCGGTTCAGAGTTTTTGTGGCCAGTTTAATTCGTCCAGTCCAAAACAATTGAACCAGCGGTTCAACCGGTTCTAAACGGTTGGACCAGTGAACCAGTGAACTGACGGCTTCGCCGGTTCGATCTTCGGTCCGGTCCTAATAACTAGGCCCAAGGGAGGGCACTAAACTACGCAGTTCCGCCGAGCACACCCCATGGGAGAACCCAAAAATCCACATTTTTTAACAGGATCATAAATGGGAGAATAAAACTTACAACATTTTAGCCATTTATTACATCACTTTCCATGCAACATCACAGTATAATATTTATTGTTTATAACAGCAGAATATAACCATGTTATCAGAGTTTCAGCGGAAATAAAATTATTTAATGACAAGTTAAACATTAATATGATGATCCGTTATATACATCATAACAGGTTATAAGTTTTTTCATTGTAAAATATTTTTAGGTGGAAGTTTCAAATAAACTCTATGTCCACAACGTTAAGAAAATTCTCGCTGAGCCCACCAGGAGGTTTCTACGCACAAGTGTCAGCTCCACATATTCTTGTCACCTGCAACAGGGTAGAACAAATTCTGCGTACTCAATTGTACTCCACAAGGCTTACCCGTCGGGAGAAAAGAAAAGACTCCAATGATATGCAAGGCTATCTGGCTTGTGGGTTATTGCATCTACGGAAGCATTACTAAACGTGCATCCTTATATTCAATTTCATTAGCAGTCATCATTAGTTTATTAACTAACCATTCTATGTAAGCACCTGTGTTACTTTCAAGCAGGTGGTAAGCAATCAGAATCATTTTATCATCTTTCATATTCCAGTTTTTACTACGGTGCTAGTTCGTAGCCAAGTCGTACTGTATCACACGAAATTCGTGAACCAATGTATCCCAGCTGGGTATCTCGAAACACACGTCCCGCTTGTACCCCAGGCACAAGCAAGGCCAACCCATCACTCTCCTGTCAAGGGGTCTAGGTCCTCGTCCAAACTTGGACTCCAAGCCCCCACACCTGAGTCTCAGACTCAGTGTGGTGCTTAGACCTCCACCATCCTCGCCTCCAATCAGTCAGTCCGGAAAGAGCCGGAACCCACGACAAGAGAGCAACGAGCATTTCTGCTCCCATAAGCAAGTATGTGCTCAGGATAATAAGTCTATGACCTGACTAGAATCCAATGCAACGGATGGTCCTCAATCGACACAGGCGGGACAAACGCAACTAGAGCCTCACTCGGTTACCTAACCAAGTCCAAGTCCAAATCCAAAATATGGTCTCGCCTGGTCTCCAATTATTATCCACATATATTCCATGTGATATTAACATGATAATAATAACAATAATATATTTTCTATCTCTCGCGAGTGACAGACAATCACTCGACTTCTACCGAAGTCCTGTAGCATAGCAATCTACACGATCCTGTCATACTAGTAAGACTCATTGGATAAGGGTATATATATGCAAGTGGGTTTCATTCAACTCCTTAAACTTAATGCACAGGCATAAAATAAAAAGCAGAATAATAGGGGTTATGTACCGGGCTTGTCTGGGTAAGATATAACCAAAGTTAATGTGTTATCATGATGACACGATCGTCAAGGCACCATCTTCTCTGCTACTTCGGTCGACTCCACAATCTATCGTTGTTCCTATTATGATATTCGTGGATGCAACGCTGAGACGTAAATAATCAACGGCGATCACAACTCTTAAAATACGATTACGCCTCTCAAGCTAACGAGCTAGCTCTGACGATTAACGTACTAGACCACGTATCCAAGTTGTCAAACTAGGCGCTAATTTCTCACAATGTTTTAGTTATAAAATCCCTAGGTGTTTCGGTATTTTATTGATTTAAACATATATTTTCGAACTAGGGCTCATTTAGCTACCTTAGCAAACTAATTATTATGGAGCTATAAAATTACAGTGAGCACCTACCAATCCATCACAACAATTCCTATAAGTTTATGTTTTAACAATATTAAGCATCTCAAATTAATTAGATTACTCTTGAAAATTCTATGAAACTATGTGAATAAAATACACTAGAAGATAGATCATGATTTTATGAACTCAACAAAATTGGTTTCACAATTTTTGGTTCCTACACAAATCTCTATTGAATTTACAATTTTATCTTAGAAGCTAAATTAGCAAATACTTAGAAAAAAGGGCCGACCTTAACCCAATCCGGCCCGACGGCCTAGCGCGGGGTACAAGCGCGTGCGCACCGCGACGGGCCAACGCGGCCCAAGGCCGCGACGCCCACGTGCGGTGGCATTCTTGCAAAAGAGACCCTGTTCTTTTACGTAATAGCACGACCTCCCTACATACTATTCTCCTAGTCATCATTTTTGCAAATGGGCCCCAAATGTTGCCGACTTCACCACGGGGAGGTCCCTGGACTCCCCACGCTCGTCGCCACAGCGGCCGACGACAAAGGGCCGCTACGCTGGGCTACCAAGGCTCGCTAAGACAGGAGTAAGGGGTCGACCTCAATCCACGGCTAAACGCGCACGGCTAGGTGGCGATTAGGGGCTCGGGGACGTAGTACTGCGAGCTACAGCGGCGAGCGGCCATTCCCCCGAACCTATGCGCTCACGGGAGAGTGAAAGTGGTGGAGAAGCATTAGGAGCTCACCAGGGTTCGCGCTACGGTGGCGGTTGAGACGGAGGAGCGACGAGGCGACCCGGCCACGTGCGCCCGTACCTCATGGTGGCGTGCCGAGCGTGGCACCGGCGCGTCACCGCACCGATGGTGGGCCTCCTGGATAAAGCAACGCGAGTGCAAAGTGGAGGGGGTCAATGCGAGTTTAAGGTCTCAAGCAATCAAACTTCTATCGTTCCAATCCTACCTCTCTCCCCAGTTCCAGATCTCGGTGGCGACCAAGGCCCGCGACGAGCAAAACGCCCAATTGACCGTTGATAGCCCATGGCCGGGGGTGGAAGAGATGGAGCGCCAAGTGGGTTTCTGGTGCCCTCTACTGGCGCAAAGAATTGGTTTGTGGAGGACCAGAGCTAAGTGAATTGGAGGGCGGAAAAGGCGAGCTCTGGCCGTGCCCTACCGTGGAGAAGCACACGCACGCGGGCGAAAGGCTTAAGACGGCCAACCCTGGTCACTGGTTGCGCCACGAGCAAGTCCACGCAACGGACGAACAGGAGACTTGGCGCGACGCTCTTAACTCGGAGTAACCGAACCTGAGTCGAGCTCTCCATGGCGTCTAGCAGGGCAAGGCAGGGAAGCGTCCCATCGCTTCTGTGGTCGGGCCATCGTTGCAACACGGTGACAGGGCTCCAAGGCATAGACTGGCGCGGTAGGTAGAACAAGGGGCGGGTTGAGCGGCACGTCGACCAAGCGATGCAACCGCAACCTCGGCAAGGCCTAGCGGCTGGTCATGCGAGCGCGGCGCGCACGCAGCAGCGGGACTAGGCCACGGCCAGCTGCGGCCGGCCATCGCCCAGGGCAAGGCTGTGCGGCGCCAACCAACGCAAGCTGGCCAGCGGCCGTAGCCCGATCAAGACACGAGCCCAACGCTAGCATCGCCCACGCGCGCGGTGACCGCGGCTCAGGCCGAGTGGCAGCAAACTGCACCGTGCACGCATTTTAAAGCTAAAAAACAGCTAATTATCTCGTCTAAGATTCAACCACTTATGCTAGTTTAAAGCCAACACTACCCGGTTCCTAACGAAACAATCGTTATGATCACATAGCAGCTAGGGGGAAAGATAAACGAGTGCCAAGGTAAGCTCATCACTGAAATGCCGGTTCACGAACAGAGAGCCAACGACATGGTTCACAACGTGTTCCAACGTAGTTCGGGCAATTTTTGCGAGAGCAACGTACTACCCAACACCACAACCACTTATACCATGCTCGAACAATCACTTTGATGCAACCAACGATACCAAAACTTGAAACTAATGTTTAGGTATTTTTGTTAAAATTTAAATGACAAAATAGCATCATATATTATCATTTCAGACTTACAAGAATTCAATGTTCGATTAGTACTAACCTCCCCTAACACTTGATTGATTTTTTAAAAGGTCTAAACCTTGCCGGATTCAACTAACAATTGTACCATGACCTAGCCCATACTACATACTAACTCTTAGAACCAAAATATCTAAGCACTTCCTAATTAGTTTGTCTAATATAGTTCGCCAAAGAATGATACTTTTAAACACAAGTTTAAGTGTTTGCCGGCAACAAAATGACCCTTCTTAAATCCCAAGTTTGATTTTTGAACTTCCCAAATTACTAACTAATAGTATTTATTCTCCAAAAATTAATGTTGCATTTCCATCTACTACACTTACACTCTAAACTTTATTCAAATACTACATACAAATTATATTTATTTTTATTTATAAAAATTGCTTCCGTGCTAATGTTTAGAACTACTTATTCTACTCTTCGCGTTAGGATTTTTCATTAACACATATATGCATTTAAGTAAACTAACTCACTAAATTTATTTGACTCTCTCTCTCTCTCTCTGAGAAGTGAGCCACATAAGATTTGTGTTTTTAAGTAAACTAACTCGTTTCGGTGATTTTCTTAGACCTAAATCTTGACGCTAAATAAGCTCGTAACATCAGGGGTGTTACAATATACTCCATCTATCTTAAAATAAATCAATTTCCAAAATCATTATAAGTCAAATGATCTTAAATTTAAGTGTTTAACAAACTTTATAAGAAAGAATAGCAACATATGTGATACCAAATAAGTATATAGAAATATATTTGACGATGTATCTATTGATACTAATTTGGTGCCATAAATATTGGTACTCTTTTCTATAAATTTGGTCAAACTTAAAATAGTTTGATTTAGGACAACTCTAATAGTTGATTTGATTTGGGATGGAGGTAGTATCATGTTGCTACCATTGATATTTTGTCTAGGTTTGGATTAAGGGCATTCCCAACGCGCCCCGATGACAACGTTCGCCGTGCGGCCGTGAGCTCCGCAGGTGGCGATGTCGGATGGCCGCGCGAGTCGGCAAGGATAGACAACCGTTCTAGATCCCTTAGGAACCATCCAGTAGGACCTGCACGTCAGCCTATGTGACCATCTTCGTCGTTTCTCTCGTATGGCCACATTTGCGCTCGATGCCCTGCCTCGGCTCACCACTTCCACCCCAACCTTGTCCTCGCCGTCCATGGCCATCATCGTCGTGCCGACATCCCTGGCCTTGGCCCCGCCCGCCATGGTAGCATCTACTCTCACCTGCCATGGCTCCAACCTTGCCCACGACTAGCACTCCCCGCCCTAGCCTCGCCCGCCATGGCGGCCTCTACCCTTGCTTGCCATGCCTCTGGTACTCGCGCCATGGTCTGCCGCGGCTCAAAAAGGAGGGACAACAAACACGTGACTCACGGTGTCAAAGAGGGACTATGTAGTCCACTCAATTCAGGGGATAACTTGGCTCGAATCTAGAGAGGATAGTCCCCTCTGGCCCCTCCCCTCGTGTCCCTAGTAAACTAAACAAGAGGCAAAAGTGGGTCCAATCTTCCAATTTTGAGTGGTTGGCTATCAAAACTTACCACACCAAAGATTTGGCAAGCAAATTTGCTAAAGATTAATCAAAATATACTATGGATTTGATATATTAATTATAAGATGTTGATAAATTTTAGTAGCAAACCAAAAGGCTGCCAATTTTTTGACAGCCAAATTTTAGCCATCGACGGCTTTCCATTCTATGGCCCTGTTCGTTTTGTTGAAATTTAGCTTATGCTGATTTGCTGTGGGAGAAAAATACTGTTCGTTTGTTAAAAAAAACTGCTGAAGTAGTGCTGAAGAACAGGGCGTATGTTTCTGAAACTTCCTGAATCCTAATAATAGATAGATGCTTGAGTATAAAAATTTTGCATATATACATAGAAATAAAAGAACCCTTCTTAAAAATCACAATAATAATAGCTAGATGTTTGAGTATAAAACTTTCTTTACTGGCCAAGGCGCTAGAATAACAATAGATGGATGTTTGAGTATAAAACTTTTGCATACATATATAAAAGAACCCTTCTTAAAAATCACATAGAGTGAGGTATTTTTAGAACGCAAAAATTTCATAGAAATCTTAATTTTGTATAGAAATCAATTCATGTTTATACGGGAAATATAAGAAACAGCAAAAATTTCCGCTTTTGAAAGGGAGTTAGGCCGTTTTCCTGGAATTCGAGTTGGGCCGGTTTGATTGTGGCCTTGTTTAGTTGGTGAAATTTTTTGGAAAATGGTATTGTAGCATTTTCGTTGTTATTTGGCAATTAGTGTCTAATCATAGTCTAATTACATCTCTAAGAGTTTGTCAAATTTTACTTGGCAAATCTTGTGATTTGCCAACTCCTAAAATTATATGCCAAGTAAAAAAACAATCCATCTCCAAGAGTTTGGCATTTTTGACTTGGTAAAATAAAAAAACCCGTTAACAAAACGAAGAGGCCCGCTAAGCGAACGAAGAGCCCCGCTAAGAAACGAAGAGCCCCGGATGTCAAGCCGTATACGCGTGCATATATTTGCGCACGTAGAGGGAAGATTTGCCAAGTTGCTATTGATGCCAAGTTGTTTTGTCAAACTGTTGGAGGCTATTTTTTCTTGTTTTGCCAAGATTATATGGATGCCAAGTTGAGATAGCAAACTCTTGGAGATGCTCTTAGGCATAAAAGATTCGTCTCGTGAATTTCGTCTAAATTATATAATTAGTTTTATTTTTTATTTATATCTAATGTTTTATGCATGCGTCAAAGATTCGATGTGACGGGAATCTTGAAAAATTTTGTAAAATTTTGGGTAAACAGGCACTGTGTGAAACAAAAACCTCATCGTAGAATAGCCTGATCATTGGCTAAACAATTCGTATGCAATGGGCCCACTTGTCGTCTCACCTTGCCGCGTGCGTGCAAGCCAAGAAGAATCGGCAGCTTTTGTGGCCTTCCCTTCTCCTCCCCATCCCCATCTCCCCTCTCTCGCCTTCGCACCCTTCGTCCACCCGCCGCTCCTCGAGCCCCCCGTCCCGCGCCGCCTCCGGCTCCGGCGAGATGTCACGCTTCGGTCGATCTGGTCCGCCGCCGATCCGCGACACGTACTCACTCCTCGTCCTCAACATCACCTTCCGTAAGTTCCCCTCTTCCCCGATTCCGTTCCCGTCTCCAGCTACCCTACAGGCTTTGAATTGGTGCCTCATCTGTATTTGTGTGCCTCGCAGGCACGACTGCTGATGACCTCTTCCCGCTCTTCGACAAGTACGGCGAGATTGTCGACATCTACATCCCAAGGGACCGCAGGTGAGTGCGAGGCGAACAGGGGCTACGGATGTTTCTATCTAGAATCGAGAGTTTGACTCGCGTGTGATGGCTGAGTGTCTGGTGTGGAATATGGAATTAGGGAGCGACACTTGTGTACGTTCTGTGAGGTGTTTATGTGGGATAACACCAATTTGTGTGTGCTCATCTAGGGTTATATGGCTGTAGGACTGGTGACTCGCGCGGATTCGCGTTCGTGAGGTACAAGTACGAGGACGAGGCACAGAAGGCAGTTGATAGGCTCGATGGTGAGTTTGGTTTGAGGTTCTCACCACTGTCAAATCAGTGTGCTCCATGTGCGGTTTAAGATTGCATGGTTGTTCACCTGTGCTGCGTTTTATTTGCAGGGAGATTGGTAGACGGGAGGGAGATCATGGTGCAGTTTGCCAAGTACGGCCCAAATGCTGAACGGATGTAAGACATCACTTTCGATCCCTGCTTCTGTGGCTGTTCATGAGATCTTCAATGATTAACTTAGTTCTTAGTTGCCATTTGTCTGTATGCTGTTCTTGATCAATGTACTTGTGAATTGTGATATGCCATTTATTTTCTAATAATAATAATTCCTAAATTCAATCTCTATCGTTTATTGGTTGGATAGATACATTAGGCAATATGAAACCTTTTGCCATGTGCATTGGTACAATACCTGCATTAGAGCAAAGAGACGACACTGGTTAGTATAGCATTTATAATGCTATATATATGACTGACTGTTTTACGTTTGAACCACGTTTAGATATCTCTATTAGTGTGCTTGTGTTGGATTTTAATAATCAGGTACAATTTATTTAGTCACGTTGGTTCCTTGTGCAATACTACAGCCACTTATTATGCTGCAACAACAGTTCTTGGTGTATCTTTATTTATTTTTGTTTCATTTTGTCTTGTCTGTTGGTACTTCACTGACAAGAACACAGTAAACTGTGGTTTCATTTTAGTGAATATGATATGTCCTAATTTTCCATGTAATTTTTCTTGGGCCTGAGTAAGGAGCCAAAAATAACGTTCCTAGTGACACATGGTGAACACAGTAAATTAGTTAAATCATCATGTCTCATAGGAACACACTGAGCAACCACAACTTTTCCTTTAATTGATTTCATAGGAAAGTATCCTAGTGCGAGTTTCTTAAATATCTACTGTTGCATGGTTAATTTCTCTGCTCTTATCGTCCATACTGAATCCATGTGTGATATTCTTCTTATTGTCCAACTTTTACAGTAATAAAGGGAGAATAGTGGAGCCAGTTCCAAGGCCAAGGGGCCGTTCCAGAAGCCGCAGTCCAAGACGGAGGTATAGCACCACCATCATTTTCTGAATGTTGTGCACATGTTTTTTGTTCTTCGAAATTTATAGAATAAATGATACCCACCACTGTCTTTTAACTTCACTAAGGTGTAAAATTGGGTAGTTTATGTGTGTTTAATCGTGGCATGTACCATTGATTGATAAGTGTCAATGCACTTGTCACGTGCAGCAGCTATGCGCAAAAGTCATATTTCATTTTCAGAATTAGGTATAGCTTTGTTAACCCTTGTCATCATTCCCAGCGTGAAGGTGAATTAAGCTATATTCTTTAAATGGGCTGTGAATTTGTGATTTGCTGTTGTTTATGCTCAAGCTTATTCAAATTTTGTTTTGTTCGTTTTCTTAATGCTGTGACTGCACTCATTTGAAGGTACCGTGATGATTATCGAGATGATTACCAGGATAGAGATTATAGAAGGCGTAGCCGTAGTCGGAGTAGAGATAGATACGCCCGTGACAGGTACAGAGATAGGGATTACCGCCGTCGTAGCCCGAGTCGCAGCTACAGTCCTGATGATTACAAGAAGCGTGGGAGAGACAGGTATATACATAGAGCATTTGTTTAATTGTTCCATCTTGCTGGTTTGCAGTTATTCACCACATTCTCTGCTGTGATCATGGGCAGTTTGTCTCCTGCACGAAGAAGCCGTAGCCGTAGCCGCAATCGCAGCTACAGTCCTGATGATTACAAGAGGCGTGGCAGAGACAGGTTTGCAAATTAGAGAGGGCCAGATTTCATTTTTCTTTCTGTCTTTCTAGATTGCAGTAAACATTTTTTTTTCTTTCTACAATTGTTAGCAGCGCATTACCTGCAAGTAGGAGCCCTAGTCGCTCCCCTCCTCGCAAAACTTCACCTTCTCCTGAGAGATCTCCTGTCAGGCACAATGATGAGCGGTCTCCACGCTCTCGGAGCCCTTCGACATAAGCGCAATTCACTTGCAAAGCATCTTGAATAGCTCAGGTCCCTAGATTGTTCTCATTATTTTTGTGAATTTTCATTAGTCTCTAAAGTTTGTCAATCTAAATTGTTGCTGTCTTGTAGGATGAATGGGCTTGCTCTGATCCTATGTCTGGCTATGCATTTGCTCGATGGTGGGCTCTTTTCAGTTGAAGTTGTGTAGTGCTGTCTGTCAGTTGCTGCAACCTTGGAATACTACTTTCGTTTGGCACCTGAACTGCTTATCAAAAACTTTATGTACAACAGTTCCATTCCACTTTTAACCTTCATATTAGTATTATCCTATTATCACTATCTTATCAGTATTTAGTACTTACTATTCATGGTGACTTGCACCTTTCTAGTTACATGATGGAGTGAAGATGTGCTGGCTGATATGCGGTCAACATGCACGTAGCTTACTGTTGAAGTTGATATAATCTGTGCTGTTTGCGTTGTTGATGATGATGGCTGATGAGATGGTGATTGATGAGATGATGGCACTGCAGCTGCCTGCACCATTTGCTGTCTGCACCTATTATGCTGACAAGTAAGATTCCAATGATTTAGCTGAATTCAGTGTTCCCATTTTTCCCATCATAAAATGCATCGCACCGCACATTTACATGCTAGGTGTTAACCCCCTTTTAGTATTTGGATCTAGAAGTGTCTGCACTGATTTATCATAGATCTGTTTTGGTTTTTTGGATCATAAGCCCTGCATGTGCACTATTCACCCTGTTCACTTGGCTTATAAGTTGTACTTTTTCAGCCAACGAACAGTATTTTTCTCTCACAACAAATCAGCCAACAATACTTTCAGCCATGGCTTATCAGCCAAGCGAACAAGGCAATTAATTGTTGCATGCACTGTTTGTCCTGTCAATTCATTTTTGCCGTTTGCCAAACATGTCTTACCAAGATGCATAAGCTCAGTCTTTCTTTTGGAAACTGTTACATTGGCGTAAGTAGGTGAGTGTTGTTTAAGCTATATACGCACTCAGTGACAGAATGCCGTTGTAAGTGCAATCCAATTTCATTGGCATGCTCATGAGTCATAAAAGGGTATCTTTGCCCGGTTACCCCAATTGTTCATTAAACTCACCACCCACTTACGCTTGCAAGTTAATGTTTTGCATGAAATAAGAAAGTTCTCAGCACTAATGCATTGAGAGTAGGAAAGGTGTGATGGCATGTGAGTATTTGGATTTGCTGGTGCTCTTTACCCTTCTTCAGCAATAGAAGGCGTGGGAGAGGTTTCGGCAACAGAATGCCTGACTGGTTGATTGACCTTCTGGATCTGAATGCGGATGATTTGCTGCAAAGACTTGGTCCCATGTCATTTGTGGAGTCCGTTGACCGATCAAGTTGTGTAACTACCGATGATTGTAACACTAACTTTGATCTGCTTGTGTGTGAAAATGGGGAAACCTTACTTCAGCAGTTCAGCATTTGGTGGTGCTGTGCTTTGCTCTTTCCGGTACTGGTAAACATTGACTGTTAGTTGGATTGTTAATCGGGTTAAATGTTACTTCTGCTCAGCTGAATTAAATTGTTTATTTGATTGTTTTTTGATATGTTGCGCGCGTATCAACCACTGCACCAGCGCCCCACGGCCCAGTCATTTTTGGTGTTAGATGGTAACAGGTGCTGACACGCAGATGTCGAAATCTTGTTCGCACGCGCACGGTGCAGTACCATTGTGTGACTGGTACTGAAAAAAAAATGGAGAGAATTTTTCACGGGTCTCTTCAGGAACTGCATGTCTTCATCTGGAACTATACCTGTTTACTTTGATGTACCGCGCCAGTCTGAACTCTGCAGCGCTGGAGTGGATGAGCGTGCTGACCGGGGCCACGTTTAGATGATGGAATCAGTATTTGATACTGTAGCACTTTCGTTTGTATTTAACAATTATTATTTAATTATGGCTTAACTAGGCTTAAAAGATTCGTCTCATAATTTATAATTAAACTGTGTAATTAGTTATTTTTTTATCTATATTTAACACTCTATATATGTGTTCAAAGATTTGATGTGATGGAGAGAGAGTGAAAAAACTTTTGAATCTAAACAAGGCCCGGCTGAACCTGGCATGCGAAAGCTGATGATGAGCTCATGAGCCTCCGTGCCGGGCGTTTAGAATTAGAATACAGGCGCTGTGAGCGTGCAGAGTTTTATTTTAAGCCTCTGCGTTCATGCTTCCTCACTTCTCTGCTTGTTTTCCTTTGCTTAAAAATAAAAGCGAAAAATGCTTGGTCACTACGGAATACTCCCATAAAGATTGTCAGTCTTTTTCCTTTGCTTAAAAATTAAAGCGAAAAATGCTTGGTCAAACTTGAGATGTTTTTACTTCCTAAAAAAGTTGGAATGACTTATAATTTGGAAGTAGTATGGGAAGTCAATGTGGCTGATTTAGCTCACGACATTTTTTATATTCTTTGTACCGGAAAGACCAGGTGACCATCGATTGAGGGATCCTAACACAAGATTGTCAAAAAACATATATATTATTTTTTATCTTTTACCTCAAGCTTTTACAATTCTTTGTTGTCCGGCGCATCTCTCGATGAGATATGTCGGCGTTCTAGGTGACCTTGGTGATCGTACTGGAACATCCTTATCGTGCGTCTCCCCGGCGAAGAACGGACGTCTGACCGGCCTCGTCGACCTGCTGGTCGGCCTTGCTGTTGGGATCTCCCTCTGCTGCGTGCTAGGCCATGTGCGGCATGGACGATCTAGCTCTTGTGTGTGATCTGAATCGGCGTCAACAACAAAACCATGGTGATGGGATAGTAAAACCATAGCTACCAATGAATTGGATTTCTGCATTTGTATGTGAATACATATTGGTGTACTGGAGTAATTGTTCAATATTGAACTGAGGGGCAATATGGCGTTGTCATATATTCTCTGGAATCCAGCAGCCGTGGAAGCCGTATGGTAGGCCGTAGGGGAGCCTTAGTCGAGCAATTTCTTCAAAAGTCACGGCGTCCAACAGTAGCGCATACCCATCACCTTCCATGGTGCTTACAATGGATATTACAACCCCTACAAAAATTCTTAATTATGGTCCAAATGAATCACAAATCATCACCGGCCTCAAAGAAACTATTTCAGGAATACTAATACTTACCGTCATCTTCATCAGTTCCCCCTGGCCTCGCCACAAAGAAGGGCTCTGATGGCACAGAGCCCAGCTCGTGCCAGTTGTTGGCCTCTTTCTCCACAAGGTCGATCTTGGTGAGGCAGTTGAAGAAATTGCATGGCCGTCGCGCGCCGCAGGCATAAACATAACGGTAGTCCTTACCCTGGTAAGCCGGATGGATGGAAGGCATCTCCACTCCCCGGCCATGCACCTCAGGGTCCAGCACAGTCTCCAGCTCGCCCATGGCCATGGGGGTTCCATCCAGTGGTATCCTGAACCGGGCAACCCTGCAACCGCACGCAGATAAAAAGTACTCCTAATTGCTTGTCAAAATAATTAATAATTCCTTGTAGCTCGATCGAGCTGCACATTCATTCATATACCTAGCATCAGGGAATGCATCCTTGTTCATTCCGGGTGATCTTAGTCTATGCAGTGCAAGTGCCTTGATGACAGAAGGATCGGCATAGTACTCGCAGCAGTCAGCGATGATCGCATCATATCTCTCTGTTCGTATGCGTTAATGAAGTGTAATGCCATGAACGGAGGAACCTTCACGCTCGCCACCTACAAGAAGGTACATGTATGCATGTAAATAACATCAAGAACATCCATGGAAAGATCAACGTAAATATATACCTAACAATTAATGATGCTGTTACTTAAGAGTAGTTCTTACGGTCTTTCCGGTGAACCTGCATATGACGTGCATGTAGCTCCCAGACTCCGGTAGCCAGTCGAAGATATACCAAGGTGTCAGCTGAGACTTGAGAACGCCTGTAAGGGAGTAGCGCAGTGGCATCTCCGGCACGACGATGTACTTGTCCGTGACGGCGAACGAATGCACCCATCCCGGTGGTGCGTGCCCTCCCCCTCCCCGGCAGTGCACTCTCCCGATCACTTTCCTCTCGTTGCTCCCAGCTGCCATCCGGACGACACGATGGCCACGCCGGAAGACGATGTCCGGGAGCAGCGTCAACAACTCGGTCCCTGTCACAACCGGGTGTGTGGTCTGTAGCAAGCCCCATAGCCTGTCCGCGTACCGAAACTTGCCGATCGTGTCGAGAGTCTCCGGGTCTATCAGAAGGGAGCTCTTGGTGGTCTCCGTGAGGCACATCACCCGGCCGTCACCGAGCGGCAGCACGGAGATGTTGGCGTTGTCGGAGAGCAAAGTGCCACTTCCGAGGCCGACGACGTTGCGCACGCGATCGAGCAGGCTCCCCCCAGGCTGCTGCTTGGAGGGACAACACAGTTGGGAAAACTCCCGGTGGAGAGGCCGGCCGTGCGCCATGGCAGCTTTGTACGCGTCCGACTCGACCTGACGATGTGCGCCGGTGGCGCGTCCTCGCCGGAAGGAGATGCGCACCAGTGTGGCGTACCCGTCGAATATGTGGTCGGACGAGTGCTCGCCGACGTCCCAGAGACCTGGCCCGTTCCTTAGGTACGTGCCATTCTGTGGAAGCGCATCAGTTACAAGACATGTGATGTTATAAGATCGATGTTCTGCTGAAAAGTAGGTCAATCGTACCAGCCAGGTAGGGAGGTGTCCTTCCACGGCCAAATGACCCTCCCACCGTTCTTGACGGACATTGCTCCATGCAGGATGCTTCGTCCAGCATTCCCCAGCGGCAGCCTTCACTGAGCTGACATGGCTAGGACTTGCCGTTCCCGAGCTGATATTGAGGAAGGTCTGATTGGAGAGAGAGTTGGACAGGAAGAATGCAGGTTTAGGAGCAGCGCGTAGCGTGGAGTGGTAGGTGGCCATTCTTGTGCTGTGAGGGATAGACGAAGCTCGAGGGACGCGCACGATGGAAACAGTGGCGGAATGCCGTCGAGGCGAAGGATATATGGCGGCCACGCGCCAGGAGAAGCCCCCCGGCCCCCGCGCCAGCGCCACTGAATGCGGTAGAAGCCTGCCAAGCGACGACGGCGGGCGACGGTTGGGGCGACAGGCGACGACGGGCACCTGCACGCGCCCGAACCGTGCTGGGACGTGCAAATTTAACGCTCGCGGCCGTATCAGACACGCGGGCGCCGCTCTAGCTAGCAACCTCTTGCTGCTTATCAGACCCGCACTAATGGCCGGGAAGCAAACGTACCGCTACCACTACCAGCGCGTCGTCCTCTTCTCCTTCGTCACTTCGTGCGTGCATGCTCCATGCCGAGCTCTTCGCTCCGTCGGCAAATGACGTACTTGTTGGCCCGGGATCTCTAGCACGGGTGCAATGTTTTTCTAAACTGTAAACGGTTTTTACACGGTTGTCATTCATTTAGCGTTTAGGCTGTTTACACGGTGTTTAAACGAAGTTAAACGGTCTAAACAGTTTTGCACTTTTTTTTAAAATACATATAATTATATATGTGTATATAAAAAATCAAGTATTCTAGCATTTATACATATTTATCCAAGTGAAAATCAATTATTTTAGTATGTATATATATTTATGCATGTGAAAAGAACCAAATATAGATATTTATGCATGTAACATATCAAGTGTACACATTTATAAATATAATAAACTTAAGTATACAAATTTATCCATACAAAACTGAACTAGATTTACCTCATGATCGCCTAAATGGCCATTTAAACAGCTGTTTAGGCCGTTTAATGCTGTTTATCTTCGTTCCGTTTAGACCGTTTTTTCCTGTTTTTTGACCGTTTAAACGGTCAACTGTTTAATTTTCATTTACCCCTTAAACAAAATAGTTTACCACCGTTTACTGTTTACTGGCCGTTTAATCCGTTTAGGCGAACACTGCACGGGTGAGCCGACCACACATATGGCTAGAGGTAGAAGAAGAGAGGGAGAACAGAAAGCGCACACACACAATACAAGCACCAGCGTTGGCCGGAGCTTTGCGGAGGAGATGGCAAACCTGAACTCGCTCACTTTACTGAGTTGCAGTGCGAAGCTATATATATACAACTCTACCCATCTAATCCTAGTGCACAGACATGCCTGGCTGTCAGGCTGCTACAGTGACTAGATGTGACAGCATGGCTGACTTTGCCGCCTGCCCCTACTGTGGCTACAGTACGGCAGAAGAGTCTTTCGGCGTCTGCCCCTGCAACGGCTACAGTGCAGCAACAGGGGAGCCCTTTTGACGCTTGCCCCTACCGCACGTACAGAGGAGAGCAGTAGATTACTTAACAATTCTTTCCCCAATCCTGCTACTAACCCTAAAACCTCCACATGTCGATCATCTTCTTTAGCTCCGTAAACCGAAGACGACCGAGAGGTTTGGTGAGGACGTCCACGAGTTACCGACTAGTTTCGACGAACTCGATGACGATCTGCCCTCCATCGACACAGTCCCCTGAGGAAGAGGAACTTGACGTCGATGTGCTTGCTCCGGTCGTGGAGAACCGAATTCTTCGCGATGGCGATGGCGGGCTGGTTGTCCACAATCAGTGCTGGTGGGTGAGCTTCGACACCGGTCAGCTCACCCTGCAGCCGGCGCAGCCACACAGCTTGGCACGCTGCTGTGACCACCGCCACGTACTCTGCCTCGCACGTGGACAGCGCCACCACCTTATGTTTCAGCGACAACCATGAGATTAGAGCCGACCCGAGGAAGACGAGCACGCTAGAGGTGCTCCGCCGTCCGTCGATGTCCCCCGCCATGTCTGTATCGTTGAACATAGTGAGCTGCAGCCCACTTCCACCGGTCTTGGGGAAGACGATCCCCTGATCCACTGTCCCCTTAACATAGCGCAGTAGCCGCTTCACTACGGCCCAGTGATCCTCTCGGGGATCCTTCATGAAGCGGCTGACGTAGCCCACGGCGAACGCAATGTCCGACCTCGTGTGGACTAGGTAGCTGTCGATAGAATATCATCGACAGTCCTCCGATGGGTATCCCACGAAGGTAGATTGATCGGCAGAGGTGCGCGTAATCAAGAACAAGAAGGCAACAAAGACATAAGAGTGAGATAGGTTTGGGCCGTCGGCTCAACGTAATACCCTACTCTTGTGGTCTGTTAGTTTGTATTGGCTATCGTATGATGTTGCATGTGTTTTAAGGGGGTCCCCTACCTGCCTTATATAGCCGGGGGTAGGGTTACAAGTCAGTTAGATCTAGGAGATAACCGGTAAGTAATAACAGATTACAGGGATCATGGGATCGTAACATATCCTAACAGATTACGCCGTATCTTCAAGATATCTTCCCGGCATCTTGCGGGGCGCGCCGAGCAGTGCCGTGCTCCACAAGGCTTCGTCTTGTGGGCTGGACCACCCCTGGCGGCGCAGCCCATATAGTCTGCCATGGGTATCCGGGGTCGTACCCCCCATAGCTAGTCCCTGAGCGCCTTGTATCCGCTGTGCAACGCCGTCTTGAGCTTTTCTGAGCAGGTGTAAACAAAGCCGAGCAGTCAGACTCATAGTCCGACCACTCTAATGAGTCGGCGAGCAGTTGTGGACCGTACCCGACCAGCTTAACTGTCCGGCCGAGCACGGGTTTACCCAAGTAAGGCTTGCCAGAAGGATGTAAGGAGCTCAAGTTCAAAATCAAAAATTTCCTCGCAGTGGACCAAGTGTGCCCACTTAGAGTCCGACCACGAGAAAGGGAGATAATCTTCTTCAACTTCAGGAGGCACGGTGTCTTCCAGATTAAAGAAAACACACTCACTGCATGGTGAAGTGTGCCCACTTAGTCCCCGAGCCTGACAGTAGGTGACGTGGTCATGTGGTGCCAGGGTCCAAAAAGTGGAAGAAAGGCAGAAAACCAGCCGAGTAGGCAACCAGTCCACGGGCTGAGCCCTAAAATGAAAAGCACACATTCACCGCAAGGTGAAGTGTGCCCACTTAGTCCCCGTGCCTGACAGTAGGTGACGTGGTCACGTGGTGCCAGGGTCAGAAAAAACAGTAACAAAAAAAGTCCCCAGTGTGGTGAGAAACCGAATCATAGTGATGACATAGTCCCCGAGCCACAAGTGGAAAACTCAGATAAATCAAGAAGTGCCGATTACCCAAATCGTGGAGAAAAAGTCGGAGTAATGACTGTACAGTAGAAATCACTGATCCTTGATGGTATTGTGGAATGGTCGGTGAATATTCGGTGTGCAGTACCAAGTTGCGTCGAAAGATGGGCGATATGGGCCATAGTTGCGCGAAAGCCCAGATAACGGCCCAGCACGCTGTTTTGGGGAATTCGGAAGGGCGCAAATTAGCATGGTGCGGTTTTCCAAAAACCCTTGAATGTGAAAAGTGGGGAGGGTGTCTTTATAACTGCGTCGCCGTACTCCGCGCTTCCACCTTTGCCACTCCGCCACTTTGTCTTCCTCCTCGCCCTCACACTCCCCCATTCGCATTCACACGCGCTCCACCGCTAGGGCTAAAAAGCTTGCGTAAAGGGACCAATTCCAATCCAGATCTGAGGGATGGCACCGAAGAGGGGAGGTGGTAACACGAAGAAGGCGGCCACCAGGGCGAGCCGTGACAAGGAATGGGTACCGTCACTCATGGGGGAGACGAAGCTCAACGAGATGGTGGAGGCAGGCGTTCTTCCTGATCGTGTCACCACCGGATGACATCCGACCGATGGTGAGCCCTATTCGATGCCACACACCGACGAACTCGTTGTCTTCGAAGATTATTTCTGGCGTGGATTAGAACTTTCGGTACATCCTTTCTTGCGGGATCTATTGGAGTATTGGGGAGTGAGCTTGTGTAATCTTCATCCGAACACTATTTTGCACATTTCTGTGTTTATTCACTTCTATGAGGTCTATCTTGGCATTCTTCCCTATTTCAATCTCTTTCGACACTTTTTCTGGCTGAAGAAGAAAGGAGGGAGCGGTTCCAAAGTTGTCGACGGTGTGTATCTGCAGCTTTGTGATGGGATGGTGGGTGAATACATTCCTGTGCCGCTGAATACCTCGCTGAAGAGGTGGAATACCAGGTGGTTCTATATGAAGCAGAGTCATCCTGCCATCTGATGCAATGTCGACTAGATTCTGGAGAATCAAAGGAGCTGGTCGGAGAAGCCGACCAATGTCGATATGGAACAGGTGAAGGAGCTCCACGAGCTAATAAGGGGCATGAAGATGAGCGGAGTGGTGATGGCGGTGAACTTCATAATGCGCCGCGTCCAGCCCTACAAGGAGAGGGCTCATCCGGGCTTTGACTTCAAAGGAGATACTGATGGCACCCAGGAGAGGACGGAGAGACTGACGAAGGAGGCTATGCTACACCAGGCGGCTGAACTATTTGCCCCAAACATGTCATACACCAAGCCAGGGTAGCCAAAATCCTTCAACTGCATGAACCCACCTCCTTAGGTAAAAATCTCGATTGTTGTTCCTGATGCTTTTTATCCCATGCCGGTGCTGAGCAGTGGACTGATACGCTTGTGGGAAGTTCCATTTGCAGGAACGGGTGGCGTACTTCTTGGGCATGCTGAGGAGCAATTGGACAAAAGCAGTGGACGCCAGGCCAACCACTCAGTCGGAGGAAGGTGCCATTAGCACCTCGTCCGTATCTAGAGGCGAAGGTGCTGGTCAAAAGGAGAGTTCCCCCCGGTATCGGAGAAAGTTCGGGGAAAAGGGCGGCAAAAGATGAGCCGACCCAAAAGAAGAGAAGAACGGCAGATGTAGCTCCCTACAAGCCGATCGACATCTCACTTGGTGGCGATCGAACCGCTCGGACGCAGAGTGCGGTGATATTCGAGTGGTCAGACGATGACAGGGCTCCAATAGCTCCCCCTCCGAGCACTAAAGCGTCATCATGCAACACGCGCACGGAGGTGCCATCAAAGGGA